ACGGTGTGGGTGATAAAGATAAGGTAAATAGTTACAGCTTTTCATGTTCCAGTGAAGTGAAATACTGGGACTTGTTTCAGTACCTTTCAGGGCTCGGCCTCAGAACGGAGGTTTATGTAGCAGATAAATCTGATGGTGACTGCTCAGCAGCATCTGAACCTGAAGTTTGGTTGTGAAGGGTTCAAGATTTCAGGAAGTCACACAGAAAAAGCCAGAAAAAAATAAAGCAAATTCTGTGTCCTCTGGTTTAAGCAGGTGCAGAATGGTAGTTTTATCTCTGCAAGGTACTGCATTTTATAGGTAATGCCTTACTAAACAGAGTTGGGAAGTAACCTATTTGCCTTCCTGATGTACAAATGTGTTTTTAATCTGTTTGGTCTAACCTATTTTTTGCTTTGTTTTTAATTAACTTAATCTTGAAAGATATGATGGGGAGCAGGAGAAGCAGCCCACTTGACTACAGTAGGGGATGTGCAGCACTTTCACTCACTGCAGTTGCAGCCAGAGCTGGCTCTGAGCAATGGTTGTCCATTGTTAGAATGCTCCAGGTCTGATTTTTTTCATACAGCCTGAAGTCTACTCACTGGGTGTGGCTTGTGTTCAGGGAAGAAGTCAGTGTACCTGAAACAGAGGGCTAGAATCTTTATATCTTGGAAATTACAGGGAGTCCATTAAAGCAGGAGTGTGTGGTGAAAGCCATACCATGAGCAGTGGTGGAGAAATGCATGCCTGATTTTTCTCCTGTTTTAGGAATAGATAGAAGTGAGGTTTGTTGTCTGCCTCTATTTTCAGCAGTAATCTTTATTAGTGATACCAGGATGAAGGGATTCAACCTGACGTGATCTGTAATTGTTTGTTAGGAAATTAAGGTCACCTTCATATTCTCTTGCATTTGGAGTGGGACCTTACAAACTATTGTGAAATTACTTTGAACTTGCATAGTCCCAAAAGGAATCTTACTTTTGTTATTTCTTTGTATTTCCTGAAGAGATGGCAATGTCAAGTTAGTCTTTTGCGTTCTAGGTTCAGCTGCAGGAGCTTGGAACACAAGCCTTCATTTGTACTCCTGTCAAAATTAGGTTGCTTATTCTTTTGGGGGTGGGCAGAACAAGGACTTCCCCATATACACTTCTGTGTGACCTTTCTACATTTGACAGGTTACCATCTACCTGCTTCCTATTACATAAACCTGAGCTTGCTTCCAAATTTGCAAATAAAATTTTGGATTGCTACTGGGGAAGGAAAAAAAAGTCTGAAATAATGCTGTGCTCTTTGCAGGATGATCCAATCCATGCTTTACCTGCATTTTTTTAGTCCAGCTATCTTTCCTTTTGCCTGCAGCTTTTGGTACCATTGTGGGCATAGACTGTGTTGGTGGAGGAAGAATTTTTCAATTAACTTAGAAAAAATATTTAACCCACATGGAGAAAATACTGTGTTTGCACAGAAAACAGAGATACATTCATAAATAGTTTTTGCAGCCTCCCAGGTGAGTTGGGCAGGGAATGGAAAAGGTTTATGGCAGTGTTACCAGCCCAGGATTTCTGTGCTATACCCTGGTTCTCTGTCCAGGGACAAGGCTGTACTTGGCAGTTCTGGTTGCTAGAGCTGATGACAAGGGTAAGGGTAAAACACAGTAATTCCTTTGAGAATCCTTGTGAAATCTCTCAGGCAAACTCATAGCCATCAACTAATTGGCTACTGCTGATGCAACAGCCACATTAAACTACATGGTTAATTTATCATAGATGATTTAAAATGTCTGTTGTCAGAATGTGTCACTGAATTGCTGGAATACAAATGCTTACCTAAATGCTTACCTAAATGCTTACCTAAATGCTTTGAGGCTCAACTAGAAGCAGAAAGGATAAATAAATTATAGGAGTTGAGCCATGGAAGAGTTCTACAGCTGAAACAAGCCAATTCCAGTAGAAATACTGGGCTACAAGAGAAAATACTCCCTTGGCAGACTTGACCTAAGCAATTAAAAAAAAAAAAAAAGTGGGCTGGAGGTTTTATTGGTAACTTCTAATTATGGGGTATGGCAGCTGCATTTACATTAAAGCCTGAAACTTCATGTGCTATGTGTGCATGCATGCAGAGAATGGAGGCTGATGGTTGAACTGCTGCTGAGCTGGGGCTTGCTAAAACTGGTTTGCTTCTTTATCTTAGAAGGTTCCTTATCAAATGACTGAACCAAGTCCTTACATGGTTTTCAAGTTGAAGCCAAACTGTCAGAACAGCCACCAGCTCCTAGCAGAAGGCTTTAGATTGTACAGTCACCAGTAAAAGCAGAGCTTGGCTCTGTCCAGATGCAGCCTGGCACTGGCCAGCACCACCCTGGCTGCAGCTGGGTGCACTGTGCCTGCTGGGACAGCCACTCCTGCCAGGAAAGCACCACACAGGAACCTGAAGAGGTCAATGAGGTACCACACCAACTCCTTTTATAGACAAAAACTTATTAATGCTGCAGTTTGCCACCTCCTTCTTGTATTTTTTAATTGTTTTTGTCCTGCCTAGCAATTTCCTAATACTAGTGTTAAAATCTGAAGCCTAATAAACCAAATTCATGTTGAGACAGTAAAATACCCCCCTCCTCTTAGTTACCTGCAGACATATGTCTTCAAAGGCAAGGGCTGGGCTGTGCTGGAGCATATCCTAGCTCTGACTCCTTCCTCCCAGGTCATAAAAACCCCCTGTACACATCTTCAATAAACGCCACTCCAGCTTTTGAAGAGTGAAGGGAGAGTTGCTCAGTTTTTCTGCTGCCTCTTCTCCCTCAGTGTCATGGCAGGAGAACTGCTACACTGTAGAGCCTAAGAGCTGAAAGATCACCTATGAGGCCATTAACAGAGAGGACATGACTGGAGAATCATGAATTACTCATCTTAACCTATCTATTATACCATGTTATCAGTGACATTGCTTTCACTTTCTGTAGATTTTTATTAACTGTTTCCATTTGTTTTCACATCTTATTCATAAAGCAGCAAGCATCACTTTTGGCATGCAGAGAAACTCCTTGTACAGCTCAACCTGCACAAAGCAGCTGGACTTTTACAATAAAGTTCACATGATTTAATTTTATACACCTCTGAAGAGACCACTCAAGTTAGAAATGCGTAATTTAAAATTACTATTGTACAGTGGAAATCACTTATTCACAATATTCATAGGTATTTAATTCTTTATTTACAAAATACTATCCTGAGAATTTTCCCTAATAAGCTTCAATTTGAGCAAAGTAGTTTGTATAGACCTAAGTAACAATGGTTACTTAACATAAGGAAAAATGCCAGTAGGAGAGCACAAAACTGATTCAGGTCATTCCCCCAATGACTGTCAAGTCTCCTGCTGTGGTTCTGGTTCTACAGCTGATGGATTTGACTGAGATGGTTCAACTCTATTTTCAGGAGGAGGTGGTGGAGGCAAAAATCCAGGTCGTTGGGGTGGATAGTGAGGATACGGTCTCATTGGAAATGGATTTCTTACTGTGAGAGAATCAGAGTAATCCAGTTAGTATCAATCACAACAGTAAACATGTACACCTGCTCCTCTTGCTGGCTTACTGCTCAGCTAGGCTTATCTAACTAGAAGTCACATGTCAGGATCCAAAGAGACAGAGATACCAGGAAACAGGAGAACAAAACCATCACTTTTCTCAGTAGTTACCCACAACAGTCTCAAAGCAGCAGCCAGCCACTGCCATCTCCTGGGCTGCTGCTGCCCCTTCAGTCTGCCACAGCAACTCTTACGTGCCACACCTTACAGATATTTTGGCAGATAAATGGCTTACTTCTTCACACATACTCAGAGAACAGCAAGAGTCAGAAAGAAGTCCTGCAGTCTGATACTTAGACCTTGCTCCAGTCTTGCAGACTCCAAGGGAAAACAGTAGTTTAGGGACTGTCCCTTTGCAGGGCACCGGCACACTTCAAAGCCAGAGGATGAAACTTTTAAGATTTATGGAAGATGCAATTTTATAGGAAGGAAAGGATTAAGGTAACCACCTACTTGCTTTTCTACCCCTCAAAAAGAATCCTTTAAATGCCGAACAGTACATGTTCCATATTTTCCAGCCAAAGCTAGTATTTGTAAAAATATCAAGATGAGCTGTTGTGAAAAAGTAAGTGTACAACACAAGGAACCTTAATCAGAAAAGATGCTCCCTGTTAGCTGAATTGAGAAGCAGTTGTGCTGCTAAGCAGTTAGCACGCCTACCCCTGTGGTAACTCACTACCTGCACAAAGCAGTTGTGTTCATCAGCTTGAGACAAATGCTGGCTAAAGCCACGTACTTGGCAGCGGAGGGCGTGGAGGCCCGAAGTCTCGTACTGGAAAGCATTCCCGTGGCCCATACATGCCAGCAGGAGGAGGGGGAGGAAAGGGAGGTCCTCGTCTCATGAAAGGTACTGGTGGGGCTCTAGGATCCACAGGCATCAGTGGAGGTCTCACTGGAGGGAAAGCTGGAGGTGCAAACCCTGAACTGACAGCTTCACTTTCAGGTGCCAGCGACTGATCAGGGAGCGAGTTCTGCAACACAAGGAAACCAGGGAAGTTAGCAGAGGGAAAGGGAACATCTCCAGTCCCATCAGGCCCACTTTCATGTAGGTGTGACATTAGCTAAGAGCCGGTTCCAACTCTGCTTTAGCTGCAGCATAATCCTGAGCAAGGCTATCTATGTGTACTGACCATTTGCTTGACCATAATTTTGTCTTTTGGGATATAATTAATTTTCAACAGGGATTATATTAGTAATACATCAAAGTCACAAGACGATACGTATTGTGGTAAACTATAGATATAATTTTATAATTTGCACTGAAGAGTGCAATATTATGTGACCAATGGACTACAAACAAATGTTTCTATGTTTGTTGCAGAAAATGAAAGCTTCTTTAAATCAAGCCTCTCTTTAGCTACTTACGCTAAGGTTAGAATGATCCTTCATCCCATCTCCACTTGGTTCTGTTCGTGGACTATGTTCTGAAGATGTCTGTCCATCTGTATGCAAAAGTTACAATAAGCTACTCAGTGCTGATCTCTTTCTCTCCACAGATTTCAGAATTTTTTTCTGAAATCAGGATAGACTGGCAACAAAACCAACAGCAAGAGGTAGTTCCCTTTTGCCCCTCCCTCCAATTAATAGTTTATTTCTTCGGTAAGCCCCATGCTGGGAATGGCTGTGCTATGATATGATTTTGGCACAGAGCTTCACACCAATCCTATTCAAGTATGACAAAAACCAATTCCCTCCTTGGCTGACAAATATCAAGGAAACTTCTAGAACCACACCAGTTTTGAGCAAGTAGACAGAAGAAATAATAATAATAATGATGATGCTAATAATAACAACAACCATCATCATCCTCTTCCTCCTCTCATTTGCCTTATTTACTTTGTAAGTAAAGAGATAAATAGAAACTTCAGTCTTTTTACTTTTAAACTTTACTGGGAACAAGTATTTTCAATAACAACTAGAGAAAACTATTAAAGGGAATTGTCAGAGAGTAGAATCTGACTGGATATAAACACACTAAATATATACACTAAATACACTTTCTTTAAACAAACAAACAACCCCCCCAAATCTGGGATTTGAAAAATATTGCTTTCTTATGATTTAGCTTGAATAGAGATGATTATACTAAAAAACAACAAACCAAAACAAGACTACTAACTAGTGACAGAATTTTTATGTGTGTGTTGTATTTCTACTCCTTGAAAGCAAACAAAGCTTTTTTTCTCAATGAACAGACAGGTCTTTTCAAACACTCTAAATTACTTGTCATTTCAAGCAGGCCCTGATATTGTTACTTTAAAACATTTCAACTCCTATGTCATACAGACATAGAGAATATTCATGCCTTGATATTTATGTTGCATAACATTTTCCATTTTAGGTCATTATGAAGTTCTTCACAAACTCTGTCAACCTTTAACTGTTCTTTCTGACAAGAAGCTTCCTGCTCCAGGTACCTCCTCAAGTGAAAAGTTTTCATAGCTTGCCACCCCATCTTAGGAAAATCCATATTATTTTGTTCACTTTAAACAACATTTTGATTATCTTTCTAAGAAATGCAACTTGTTACCTCTCATGAGTAGGAGCCATGATTTCAGTACTGTGAGACACTGCTGTTCTGAAGTCAGGTGTGCTGGATGGGCTGGTTTTTGGTGATTGGTTTTTAATTGAAGGGCTTTTTTTTTTTTGGGGGGGGGGGTGGTTTATTTCAAATACTCAGCCAACTCCAGTGAAATTACGTGTCTCTAGAAAGCAACATTCACACATTCTTAATGACCTGTTAAATGCTGGCAACAAGGTTATCCAAAACCCCATTTCCATTCCCTAGGCTCTGAATTGCCCAGGAACTGTCTACAATGTTTAAAAAAATAAATTAATTGTTGCTTGGCAGGGACTGAAGAAATGGGCAAAAAAAAAAAGGATGCATTAGTAAGTGCAAAGGCAGTGCACCTCTCCTGTCCTTCAGCCAGCAGCCAGGTGCTAGAAGACCTCAGTGGAACATGAAGTATTAGAAAGCAGAAGTGAGAAAGCAGTAGTGAAACTGACAGAAGGCTTGAGAAAGAGAAGGTCAGTAGCTGCACAGGGACAGAACTGTAAGAACCATTCACTTTGAAACCTGAACCTTCAACTTGAAACTAAATTCAGCATTCCCAGTTCTCAAACACTGTGACACCGAGTAGCAAAGGTTCCCTTTCCTCTGGTCAGAAACAGTGCAAGGGAGATGGTCACTTTCTACTAATCCTGTCAGTAACTGAGTCCTGGGTGGTGAAGTTTCTGCTGGGAATTTAATGGCTTCACTTCGTTGATAAATCAGACACATGTGACCTACCAGGGCATTACAGAAAGATGAAAAATGCTTAGTAAGTATTAAGCTCTTAAGCTGTCAGTGATAAGGTCTCTGTGACCAAAATTTTGCCTCTGAGCTTCTGGCAGTTGCCAAGTGTCACAAACTAAAATGTGCATAATCAGCCAAATCAAAACTAGTGGATCAGTGAAAGGTATGATTAAACTGGGGGCAATTCACTGTGAACTACAAAAAACTTCCACTGTGGTCAACAGTTTGAAGGAAGAAGCCTCATACCTTCTACCTCCATGCACCAAGCCAGTGGACACCTGAACACTTTCTGCTTCATTCTTTGTGAATCTAATCCTTTCTAACTTTACCAAATGTGGCACAGAAAAGCAAGTATGGGTTTGTGGTGTTTTAATGCTGTGATGAGCCTCATGGGAGGGATCAAAACAGACTCTCAACCAATTATGAGTGGTTATCATACAGAACAGCGAGGGTTGACCACAAAAATACCTGATGACTGCCATTCACGGAATCCTGCCCACCTGACAGCAGGTGCTCCAACAGGGAACGGCTGCATCAAAGCCAGCAGGTGTTAAAATGTTTCATACACAATGGAACTTGTGGTCTGTGGTAGCTAAAAACCTGTCCTCTTGCCACAGCTTGCCATGCACAGTCAGCTTACACTGGGATTTTCCATTCTAGAGTATCATGGAAGCAATTCCCACCTGTTTTATCAAAAGACTGAACATTGTAAGTTCGTAGTTCTGCTGGTCCAGAAAGTCTTCCAGTATTTGGAGGATTAGGGAAAAATCTTTCTTGTCTTCGAGCAGGAAGAACTGGATCAGCATAAGGCTCACCTAACATTGAAGAAATCACAAAACATAGGTCTGTGAAGAAGATTTATTCCTACCATTCCATGCAGTTTTAGACCAGAAAGGTTCTCGGGCTATCTTACACTCTTGTAAATATACAAAGTGTCTATTAATCCGGGTGAGCAAACAAATCTTAAATAACCCAGAGGAATCCTACGAAGTATATCCAATTGCTTATGTTTCTAAAAAGCTGCAAAAGAAAAAGTTCATTGATTTTTGGTTTAACATACAGCAGAATTTTGAAAGTTATAATTGCCTGAGTTATAAACAGTGGGGTTTTGAAACAAAGGTTCAGCCTAGCAAAGAAGATGGAAGACAAAACAAGGTACTGTATGTTTTAAGGCATTCTTAGGTAAGAATACTGTTTTCCATTATGTTTCATAGTGCTGTAATATGTTTCCACCAACTTGCTGGCATCAGACCTAGCAATCTGTCATGCAGCTACAAGACAAACTGTATCAGTGAGACCCAAGGGCAAAGGTGGAATAAGAATAAGAAAGCCAAGGAAACCAAACTACCTCTCTGCAGTATCCTGTCAACAGACCACACCCACCAAGTGAGAAACTGCTCCTGAGAGGAGCTTGAGTTCTACCACTAGGCTTTCACACAGATGTGTATTGCTTGCTGCAGTAATAACTGAGGTTACCTAATTTTTTTTTTCTAAACTTGTAATGTTTTTTCTTCTTTATTACAGGTACCCAGGAAGGTTGTCCATACCCCCAAGTTTTTACTTGAGAAATATCAGCAAAATCCTCTTAACTCATCTCTGCCTCCCCTGAATGGTTAAGTGCAATACAGATGTTTAGCTGAAGATGTGAGACTGAAGACTGATTTTGCTGCTGTTAATCACTGAAGAGACATTATCAACAGGAAAACATGTGCCAGACAGGATGAATGTACCATGGTACTCCTGTAGTATTAATATAAATGAATTTTTTAAAAAAATTTTTTTCAACATTACCTGGTTTTATTTAAATAAATTAGAACTTTTTACTTCTTAAATATCTTACTAACTATCCAGCCCAGACAGGTCTTTTAATACACTAAACAAACTCCCAGTAAAATTATGAAACCAAACAGTTGATTGTCCCTTGATAATACCAATATGTACTTAAAAGATAGCAGAGAAGTGCAAATGAACCACGCTGTTCAAGAAGAGGAAAAAACTACTATTAAAAATACCAGTTCAGTTGCACATGCGGGTCCAAGAAAACATTTAATATTTTTAAACCCAAAATAGTTAAATGTATAGACTGGAAGTCAGTAACTCGTCTTTTCCGTGGATACAGTAGCTAAGCAGAGATTTTACCTGGTGGAGGCAGAATTATCCTGTGTTCTCTTTCCCAAGGAGGAGACAGGGATCCGGTATCTGATGGTGGCCTGTGGGGATCAGGATTCAGCTCTCCTCTTTCACTTCCAGCTTCATACATGGCAGTTGGTCCTCTGGATCCTAATTGAAGAAATCAAGTAGTTATTCACCCTTGTGTTTTAAATCCTCTGCTGTGGCTTTCCTTGTTCAGTCTGGAAACAGTGGAGCAATCATGGAATGCCAACGCTGTCAGGACACCCGAGGCTCCGCGGCTCTCCGGCTGTTTGCCAGTGACCAGCTATGGCTACGAGAAGGGTTCCGAGGCACGCAGCGATGAGTCTTAGCTCAGTAACAGCACAACACAGGGGACCTGCAGTGCTTTTGAAAAAACTAATAATTTTACAAGTTCCAGTTAATTTGAACCAGAAACCAGTATCCTCATGATAAATAACCTTCTCAGTGATAAAAACCTAATCAAACTAACAATTAGCATGCCGAGAGTTAATACTGGTATCATAAAACACCCAACTGCATTCAACACTCTTCTGGTTCTAATTCTTTATTCAAGAAGGAAACAAACAAACAAAAAAATCCAAACCAAACAAAACCTCTCTAAGGCCAGGTCAACATAATCAAGTAAACATTTTAATAAAATGATTTTAATAAAAAATGATTTTAATAAAAAATGATTTTAATAAAAAATTATTTTAATAAAAAAACATTTTAAAAAGTGATTTTAGATGGTGAGCTTCCTCTAAAACAGACTGGGTCTGAAAAACTACAGAGAATGATAGCAGAATTCAGTATTTCTAATTCTCCACGGTATAATTCAACCTACAACTTGAAGCCATTTTGTGTCTTGTGCACTCTGAGATAAGTACTATGATTGCATTTACTGGAGTCCTTATAGAATACAAATTTGGACATATTTCCCACTAATCAAGTAGAGGCTTCAATGGGTGCAATGGTAAAAATAAATTAAACAGCAGCTTCTTTATTACCTGTAACAGATGCTGAACTTCACTCTAGCATTTACCTACACTGCTTCCATCAGCGTAAGAAATATGAATGGAGGGTATTTTCCTTCCCTTACAACCTATGCCACCCCAGCTTACTTTTGCCTACTCTTGAATCTCTGAATTGTACCCCTTACACACAAACTTCCTGGTCCCTTCTATCAGAAGGGAAGAAACACTCTCCGTGTAGGATGGCTGCTTCAAATTTAAAACAAAGGGAAGGGAATCAATTTACTGAACCAATAACTTTCTAATACCACAACCACCAATAAAACTGCCTCATGTTTTTGATAACATCCTCTCACAGACTGTAGACAAATGAGATGGAAGGGGCAGTATTCTTTTTCAGAAAACTAATTGACTCCATTTTACTTTAAAATCTTATTTATTTTAGCAGAACCCCATCTGTCCAAGAAAAAAAAAAGAAAACTGATAAGTCTGGATTTTTGCTTTTCTTAATTTATGCTTCTAAAATTAATCCCCTGACAAACCTACCAACAAAAACTAGATTTCCAATTGCATTGTTACACATTAAACAGCTTTAGAAGCAAGTTGAAAAACAGAAAGAGCTCGTTCAATTAACTGTTTTTGTTGAATTGGTTGTTTTAATACTTTTTGTCACTAACATGAAGAAAAGGTGTGACAGGTTTATAGGAGAGGAGAGAGAAATCCAGAATAGATACATTTTCAAGTTTAAGCATTGTACCTCTTCCTCCTCCTCCACCTGGAAGCATAGGTGAAAGCCTTAAAGGACCCTCCAATAAAGTTGGAGGGGAAAGAAAAGCTCTTGTTTCAGATGAAGGCCGGCCCATTGGTGAGGGTCCATATGGGGAATGCTCTGGAACAGTTAAAACAAAATACTCATGTTCACAATACTTAGTTTAACAAACTGTATAAACAACTTCTCAGGTGAAGCTAAAAACTAAACTATGTAACTAAAATGAAATTTGTGCTCTCATTACCATGTGTAACATATTCCCAGTCTACTCTCATCAATACTACAAAGTTTCAACAAAATATTTGATAGGATCTAGAGTCACTTATGACCCAATTATTTTTTTTAAAAGACTAGCATTTGTATATACACATAGAGAGTTTTCAAGCAAGGCCAAGATAGTTTTCAAGCAATTAAATATGTGGTCTTGGGAAACAAAACCATAAGCCAAAATAATTAGGCTCTATTTTACAATTCAATACTGTACCTCTGCCAAATGGTCTCATTGGAATATCAAGAGCATAAGGGTCTTTTTCTAAAAGTTCAAGTTTAAATTCTGCTTCAGTTAATCTGCAAAGAGACAACAAATAAGTAGTAAGTGACCAAGAAATGCAAAAGCTTTACCAGACTACACTGTTTACTGTCAGGCTTTCTACATAACTGGTTAATGAAGCAAGGTATTTTATTCCCTAAATAAATAAGACAAAGGATGTCACAGTACTCTGCACTGTAAAATGCCTGAAAGTATTTCTCTATGCTGCCGTTTCTACTGTAATTCAGAAGTTGAAGTTGCATTTTAGATGTCACATTCCTAGTATGGCATCACTTTAATTGCACTCCAAGTATTACTAAACCTCACACATCAAAGTTCCTCTCAACTACCACCAACTCTTAGTTCAGCATCAACTTCCGAGATAAGCTGCGAAATTGTGAGGTAACCAAACATCTGGTTGATACATACTTATTTAAAACAAACAAACAATACCCCCCTCCCCAACATTTGTATTCTAGTACTACATTCTGCTTCTTTCCTGAAGAATTTAAATGCTTCACATATTTCCTAACTTGTTACTTTCTTGCAGGTCATTTCTTTCAGAACTCTAACACTGTGATCTCTGCTGTGTTTGGGCTACAATACACTAACAGAAAACATCGATCTGCCTAAATCCAACACATGCCAAACTGCATTTGTTTATGAGTAGATAAGAACTGCACTTACTTTTGTCTGTTATGTGCATTTTCTTTTTTTATATCATTGAGGTGTCTTTCAGCTGCTCGGGCTGTCAGCTTTGGCAAAGGACAAAAACCAGATTATTAGATATTGCTATTTTTTGATTAAATGCTTCATAAATATGACAATTCCTAGGTCCAAGACATTTTATGTGAAGTGTATGGATTGCATTTTCACAAGATATGACTCATGTATGGAGCCTCACATATGTCAGCAAATGATATTAACAGCTCTAAACCCAAATTTTAGAGGAATTATAAGGCTTTCCTGCAGGTTCTTAAAACTTCAGAAATTGAATTCTTTGGTTATACCTGCTTTGAAGCACCTACAGAAGATTTGAAGTCTCAAATTCTATGTAAGAGTGTTGTATTTTAAAATTGGATAGATAAAATCTCTGGAATTATGACCACAAAGCACCATAGCTTTTAGCAGGATTTTATCTCAGACATTCTGTGAAAGTGAAGAATGTATTAGTCAGGAGATATTTTAAACATTCCTGTTGGAAAAAAAGGCAAAAATGGATTTTGTAGAAACACTCTTAGGAAGATGTCAATGGAACATACTGTTCTCACAGGACATAACGGGTTCTACTTGTAGATAAAAGAAGTGAAGTACACCCAAAGTAAATATCAAAATGGCATTGAAACAAGGCCAAAAGCTTTCATTATTAGCAAAATGTCACACATTTGTTATATGGTGTAATGTTTTTCCAACAGATTTATTGCTATAACAAGTGATATCAGATTATCATTCTACTGTGTTCATAAGTACCCAGCTTAATTTTTCTAACTATTTTATATAATAGAAGTGTTTTTAACATGCTTTTGTGTATTTCTGCAAGAAATATGTTTAAAAGTGAAAGGTTAGAGATAATTTTGATGATCTCTTTTTAGTACAAATACAAAGGTGATAAACTGAACTTTTCAAATAATGAAAAATGAAGATGCAGAAAACACAGAAAATTCAGTATTTGGAACTTACCCAATTATCATGAGCTTTTTTCTCATGTGAAGTAATCTGTGAAAGAGAGATTTGTTATTCACTAAACCCCAATTCTTAGGATTACATGCTCTTTTTTGTAAACTTAATGTGTGTGGGTAATTTATAATGGGATGCCTAAACTGAAAATTCAGCCTTTCAATGAAGTTATCTGGTGATCTCTGCTATGAAATCATGTCAGTCCAAACCAGATAACATTAAGAAGAGGGAGGGGGAGGAAAAATTGGACACCCAACAAAGCCAAGCCAAATACAGTTCACAAGCCAACAGCAAGTGGTATTCCAGTTGCAGTAAATCCCTCCTACTGGCATAGACGCTGTCACAAAGCACAAAATACCTGATTCTCATAAGAACGAATGGTTCTCTCCAGCTCTTCTTCCAGATCCTTTGCTCGTTCTCTGTAACAAGATGAGAATTGATGATATTGTAATAAAACATGCAGGAAAGTTTTGAATACAATAAACTCAACAGTAGCCACAAGATGCAATTAATTTTTTTTTTTAATCCAAAAGACAGTATTGTCACTTAGGCCCATGGGATACAAAAAATTATGCCAACAGTGGAAATTCCAGGCCTTACATTCTAAGCAAACAGGGATGTAAACAAGAGAACAGAACCCAAACCCCAATATCCCCCCAACTTTTCAGTGGTTTGTGATGTTTCCAG